ATTCTAATGGCACCAAGAAAACCCATCCAAGAGGTCTTCAAAGGCAGAAGAAAGAGGAAGCCTTTCCCCACTCCTATGGTTATACAGCGAGGAAAGAGACAAAATATCCTTCCAGTTCTCTACTAGAAACTGGCTGAGCATCATTAGGAACTGGATGCTGACTGGCAAGGAGAGTAAGATAATCACTGGGGGTTCTGAGACCCAACTGCAAGGACAGGACGTTAGACACTGCGAATGACCCAGAAGCAAAGACTCTCCAACTGGGGACATTCTGGAAAAGCGACTCTTTCTGAATCAAGCCCAGAAGGAAGTGTGTCTTTGGTGTTTATGGGGACCAGCTTCGTCCAGGAATTGTCAGCTCCATGAGGGAGAGAATTTATGTTCCAAGTTCACCCATTCATTCATTCAATGCAAACTTATTATAACCTACTTTTGAGTCCTGCCATGAATTAGGAAACATAAAAATGGGAAGATCAGGTCATAGGCTCAAGGGGACCAGAGGTAAAGGAGGAGACAAAATGAAGGGATACACATGATACAGGGAGGCTGGTTGTTCTAGAAGTCTGGGTGGGGTGCAGGGCTTTCAGAGAAAACCACTGTGAAATCAACCAGATAGCACATCCCCAGAGACCTGCTTCCAGAAAAAACACATCAGCAACAGGACACAATATCCTGTGCCATTTTACTCCTTTATTTGTTGAGTTTTTTTTTTTTTAATGTGAACCACTTCCAAAGCCCTCATCAAATTTGCTACAACACTGATTCCATTTCTATGCCCTGGCTTCTTGGTGACAAGGCATGCAGGATCCCAGCTTCCCAACTAGGGACTGAACTTGCACTGACCTCACTGGAAGGTGAAGTCTCAACCGCGGGACCGCCCCAGAAGTTCCACTGTGTCATTTCAAATGTTTGAAATTTTTATTTTTGAAGTATTTCTAATTTGTTTTTTAAATATCTCCTCAGATGCCCATGAAAGCTGCTCAGTTGTGTCCGACTCTTGGAGACCCCATAGACGATACAGTCCATGGAATTCTCTAGGCCAGAGTACTGGAGTGGGTAGCCTTTCCCTTCTCCAGGGGATCTTCCAACTCAGGGATCGAACCAGGGTCTCCTAAACTGCAGGCGGATTCTTTACCAACTGAGCTATCAGAGAAGCCCAGATGCCCATACAACACTGGAAAATCACTTCGAAAAGGATCACCTTCTGAAAAGATTATTTTTCAGCTGGGATTAAAAAAAAAAAAAAAACTCAGTTTAAAGTTCATTTTTACTACCAACTAGCATGCATGTATTTCAATAATGGGGGCAATAAATGTAGTTATATTTTCAAATACAAATTAGTTTCATTAAGCGTGAGCTCTCATTTACCACATTTGGTGCTAATCTGAGGCAGACTGTAAAACTAATTTTAACAACTGCCAACAGCTCATGACAAGCGACCAGAGATGGTGCAATTATATGCAATGATGCCGGATCAGCTGGCAAACTCATTCTTTATTTCTTCACTCAAATCCTATATTTGAAGACTCGAGCATGTTTATTACATCATTCAGGCACCCAAAGCAAGAACCGATGATCCAAATTAAGAAGTTTTTACATGATGAGAACATTTCTCTTCACTCAAAAATGTATGAAAATTTGAAAACCCAACCAGCTATTTGGATGGTGTCAAATCTTGATATCCTACAAACTGTCTATGAGAGAAACCCAAGCATAACTGAAACGGACCCATTGACAAGTGTGCCTGACTTGATGCCAAGGAAAAGAACAATCTGTATGACAGGGACTATTGTATGGTGCTGTTTTTAAGTGTCTATGTGTGCATCTGCATATGAAAATCCATGTGTTGTTTGTTTTTTTTTTCCCCCTTAACTGACAGGACAGGGACCACAGCATTCACAAAACTTTCCTCTGGGTCTGAGGTGATAGCTTTTCATATTTTTCAAGTTTTCCGTGTTGGACGGGCATTCCTGTTCTAGTTGAAGACATCAAGGTGCATCACAGCCAGCCTCCAAGATGGGCCTCAGTAGTCCTCCTGCTCACCAGGGGACACCCCCTCACTCAACGGGTCTGGCCGACACGGCCAGCGGGATGCAGCAGAAGGGCACACGTGCCTGGGGGAAGCCTGCTGCCATTCCGGGTGCTTGCGCTCAGCTGCCGAGTCACGTCCGACTCTGCAACCCCACAGACTGTAGCCCGCCAGGCTCCTCTGTCCATGGGACATCCAGGCAAGAGTACTGGAGTGGGGTGCCATGTCCTCCTCCAGGGCATCTTCCCCACCCAGGGATCGTACCCACATCTCCTGCAGTGGAGGTGAGTTCTTTACCACTGAGCCCCCGGGGAAGCCCCGCCGTATTGGGAAGACACGCTATTAACCGCATGGAGAAGCCCCCGGGCGGGCACTGAGGCCACCACCCAACAGCCACGACAAACCCAATACCCAAGTGCCAGCAACGCTCAGCAGCCTTCGGGCCAGCCGGCGTCCTGGCCAGAACCTCAGGAGAGGCCCCCGGTCAGAACCACCCAGCTCAGCCGCCTCTGGATTCCTGACTCACAGGAGCCCCGAGAAACGAGAAACGTTCACTGCTGTTTCCAGTTGCCAAGTTAGGGGGTAAAATGTTACACGGCGAAAGATAAGGGGAAAAATATATGAAAAAAAAAAGAAAGAAAGATAAGAGGGGTATTTATCAAAAGAAAACACCCGGCGGAGACAGATCCAGACTTCCTTTCTGCTCTCCAACAAGCGTCCATCACAGCCACCCTTAGCTGAAAACAGCCCCCCTCCCAAGAGGCCGCCACTCAAAGTGCCATCCTCAGACCAGCAGCGCCGCCACCCGTGGTAACGGCCCAGCCAGGCCCGCCCGTCCGAATCCACACTGCCACGTGTGGTTCAGCAACGTCTAAACCACAGGAAAGCTCCAGAGAGCCTGGACCTCGGAGGTGGCTCTCCATCTCGGCTGCCCACCGGATCACCGACAGCTGTTGGGAGGTCCAGACACCCGGGCCCTGAGTCTGAAGCGCGTAGCTGGGGGCTGGGGACCACAGTGTAGAGGAGGGGGGTCTTGCAGACCTCCTTGGTTTCACCCCCGTTTCCTCCGAACCTCTTGGGACCTCATGTCCTACCTCTCCAGCCTGTCTGCTTTCCTCCCGCACAAGTGCACCCCAAATTTCTACCCTGGTCTCCTTCTGTCCTTCTCTCTCTTCAAACTGCTTTCACTATTAACCCCTGCAAACACATGGATCAGGATGAAAAAATGAGACATCTCTGCACCCACTATCGCGATTTAACAAATGCTTGCATTTTATTTCCTCTCAGCTCTTATTTTTGCAGAAATACTTTTGGGGTGCAGCCTTCATGCCAGTCCCTTTGTCCTGTATCTTGCAGTCCCTGCTCCTCACGCCTGAGCATGTTACATATAATACCCAGAACAATACAGGGCAAAGGCCCTGACGCTTTTCAGGTCATGGTGTGTACGAACTCCAGTGTCCATGTATGTTTTTTCACAGCACCCCCAGGCTGCGACATTTGATTAATTAAGTAGTCGGGTCCAAACAAATTGATAATTACGTCCAAACAACTCAGCAGTCTTTGGAAAGAACAGACTACATAAACTGAAAGAAAAAAATCCTTCTCTGCATCTTTCGGTCGCCATTATTGCTTACTTCTGGGACATGTGCACTGGGCAACTTCTCAAACCTCAGACACACTAGCCAGCCCCACCCCCCGCCATCTCCTGTTCCGCAACGATTGTAGTAACCACCCCAAATCCAGCTTCGCAAAGAGACGACATCATCAAAAGGAAGTGGTGCCCTTTGATGCTGGTACTGTGAACCACCTCCGGCTGGCAGTGACAGACACCCAACAAGCTTGCTGCAGTTCTCAGCACAGAGTCTGGGGCCTTCCAATATAGGACTGGATGTGTCGCTCGAGAAAGTTCCCTAACTACCTCCTCTCCCCTTAGCTGTCAGACCCCCTCTCAACCTGACTGCTTTTCAACTCCAGCTCACAGGCCCACCTATCCATCCCAACATCTCCCCCTAGAACTTTCTTTCCCGGCACTTCCAGAAGGATATGCCCCAAACAGAGCTCGACGTCCTGCCCCCAAAGCCAGCTCTTCCTCCTGGGTTTCTTGTGTGTGTGTACATGTTTTTCCATATATAGACGTCTACAGACAGAAGTGGGGGCAGAGTTGTTTTAGAGGACTTGTCTTTGGACTTGGAGGCTGGCAAGTCTGAAACCTACAGAGTGGACCAGGAGGCCAGAGACCCAGGAAGAGAGGATGGAGCAGCCCTGAGCCCCAGAGGCTCAAGGCCCATCCTCGGAGAGCTCGGTCTTTTAAGTCCCTAAACTGGATGGACGATGCCCGCTCATACTGTGGAGACTGGTCTGCTTTTACTGATTCAAATGTCAATCACATCTTTAAAAAATACTGCAGGGCAACACCCAGACTGCTACTTGACCAAACACCGCAGAGCACTGTGTAGCCAACTTGATACATAAAATAAGCATCACCTTCTTCACTGAGCACTCATTACATGCAAGGCACTATCCCTGTAACTCAGATGGTAAAGAATCTGCCTCCAATGCAGGAGACCCGGCTTGATCCCTGGGTCGGGAAGATCCTCTGGAGAAGGGAATGGCATCCCAGTCCAGTATTCCGGCCTGGAGAATCCCATGGACAGAGGAGCCTGGTGGGCTATAGTCCGTGGGGTCGCAAAGAGTCAGACACGACTCACGACTCAGCGACTAACAGTACAACCCAATACACGGTTCCTAATGCTGGGGATACCGAGCAGAAACAGGGACAAAAAACCAAACAAGAACCATGCCAGCCTTATGGACCTTACTTTCAGGAGCAGAGAAACAGACGTCAGATGCATAAAAATAATGAATGAAGTTCAAGCTTGAAAGAATGTTGCATAAAGACAAGGAAAGCAGGGATTTTTTTTTTTTTTTTAAAAACAAGGTGATGAGGGCAGGCCTCCCGCAGAAGGTGACAATGAGCAGAATTCGAGGAAGGGGAGCCCTGGAAGAAGTGGGAGGACGCAGCTTTCATGGCGGCCTCACGTGCAAACAGGCTGGGGCTTCCGGGACCTGCCGGGAGGAGCGGGGGGCTTGGGCGGCAGTGGACTCCGGGAGGCGCGAGCTGGTGGTCGTGGGCAAGACGCCCCCTGGCTGCCTCAAGGCAGGTGGGAACCAGCGGAGGGTTCTGAGCCCAGGGGAAGGCAGGACCCCTCTGACCCTGGGAAGGGGGAGACCAGGTGGTGACCTGGGGTGAGGAGCAGTCAAACTCTGGATATGTCTGGGAGGTAGCCAGTGGGATTTCTCGTGGGTCTGGAGATGGGGCATCCAAGACGCCTCCAGGGCGTGCACTCTCAGCATCTTGCAGCGGCACCTCCCATGCTGGATGGAGCCAAAGGAGGTGGGAGTCTGTTCTGGCTGCGCTAACTCCAGCCAAGGGCAGCAGGGTGAGCAGCGGGATGGATTTGTCCGGGGCTGAGCCCCGACGCTCCTGGGACTGCCCCGTCTTCCCACGGGAGCGCCAACCCCTCGAGGGCAGCCGCTGCCTCGTCCTGAGAACGGCTACCCCAGGGCCCTGCCCCAACAGGTGCACGAGAAACACGACTCACAGTCTTCAGGAGCAGCGAGGATGCCTGCCGTCTGGGAAAGGAGGGAGAGGGGGCTTGGGAGTACCTGCCCATCGCTGCCAAGTCCATCTTTCTGAAAGCACAACACAGGCGTTGGGCGAGGCTCTGGAGCCAGACCGCCTGGATTCAGGTCCCAGGGCCCAACTTCTTAGTTGAGGGGCCTCAAGGAAGCTGTTTAACATCAGGGATCTCAATCGTAAAGTGGGGGAGGGCTGCAGAATCCACTGGCATGGTGAGGATTAAATACGTTAACAACTGTGAGGCCCTAGGCAGCAAGAGTGCTGCGATTCATGGGGTCGCAAAGAGTCAGACACGACTGAGCGACTGAACTGAACTGAGGCGGCAAGAATACACAGAAGAACTGTACAAAAAACATCTTATCTTCACGACCCAGATAACCACGATGGTGTGATCACTCCCTAGAGCCAGACATCCTGGAATGTGAAATCAAGTGGGCCTTAGAAAGCTTCACTACAGACAAAGCTAGTGGAGGTGATAGAATTCCAGTTGAGCTATTGTAAATCCTGAAAGATGATGCTGTGAAAGTGCTGCACTCATTATGCCAGCAAATTTGGAAGACTCAGCAGTGGCCACAGGACTGGAAAAGGTCAGTTTTCATTCCAATCCCAAAGAAAGGCAATGCCAAAGAATGTTCAAACTGCAGCACAACTGCACTCATCTCACACGCTAGCGAAGTAATGCTCAAAATTCTCCAAGCCAGGCTTCAGCAATAAGTGCACAAGCTGGAATCAAGATTGCCGGGAGAAATATCAATAACCTCAGATATGCAGATGACACCACCCTTATGGCAGAGAGTGAAGAGGAACTAAAAAGCCTCTTGATGAAAGTGAAAGAGGAGAGTAAAACAGTTGGCTTTAAGCTCAACATTCAGAAAACTAAGATCATGGCATCTGGTCCCATCACTTCATGGCAAATAGATGGGGAAACAATGGAAACAGTGAAAGAATTTATTTACTTGGACTCCAAAATCACTGCAGATGGTGACTGCAGCCATGAAATTAAAATACGCTTGCTCCTTGGAACGAAAGCTATGACCAACCTAGATAGCATATTAAAAAGCAGAGACATTACTTTGCCAACAAAGGTCCATCTAGTCAAGGCTATGGTTTTACCAGTGGTCATGTATGGATGTGAGAGTTGGACTGTGAAGAAAGCTGAGTGCTGAAGAATTGATGCTTCTGAACTGTGGTGTTGGAGAAGACTCTTGAGAGTCCCTTGGACTGCAAGGAGATCCAACCAGTCTGTCCTAAAGGAGATCACTCCTGGGTGTTCATTGGAAGGACTGATGCTGAAGCTAAAACTCCAATACTTTGGCCACCTGATGCGAAGAGCTGACTCATTGGAAAAGACCCTGATGCTGGGAGGGATTGGGAGCAGGAGGAGAAGGGGACGACAGAGGATGAGATGGTTGGATGGCATCACCGACTTGATGGACATGAGTTTGAGTAAACTCTGGGAGTTGGTGATGGACAGGGAGGCCTGGCGTGCTGGGATTCATGGGGTTGCAAAGAGTTGGACACGACTGAGCAACTGAATTGAACTGAACTGAGGCATCTAGAAACTGTCTGAATGTTAATTGTTATTAGTTGTTATCTAATAATTAGTTGCTACTAGTTGTTATCATGGATATTACTTGTTATCCACGATAAAGATCCCTGTTAACCTGACATAATTAAACCACACTGAAAGGGTGCTTATAAAGTGTCCCAAGACACTGGAAAAAATCCCCAAAGACCTCTCCAAATTAAAGAAGTATTTAAATGGATAGTCTGATTCCCTGTACTCTGCCTTCTCAAAATTTTGTAAGACACGATATGATCACATTCTCTTAACCAGAGTCTGCGATTAACCTAGTTTCTTCTCATTCACCTTTACAGATAAGTTCTATTACAAAAATTTCTCCAAATTTGGGAGTTACTCCATAAAACTTGAAGGCTTCCACAGAAGAATTTCCTTGGGGGTGAAATACAAAGTAGGGAATTTCAACACACACACAAACACACACAAACCCACCTGCACAAACACACACACATACACAAATGGAAGCTGATAATCCTTTGCAAAGAATAAACGCTGCCCATTTGCGGGGTCCACCTAGGGAACAACACAGTTTAGGGACAGTTTAGTTTTAAAAGCCCAAGAACCACAGTCAGTGAGGTGCCTCTGGCTTCCTGGTTGAACAGTGTGAAAACAACCAATGCAGTTTCATAAAGCAGCATGGGACTTGGGGAACATCAGACAAGATGGGCACTCATAGCTGATGGCCCGGCCCTGGAGGGTCCGGGTTTCCCGCCAACACCCGGGGGCTGGTGCCCACTCCTCTGAACCCAGCTGGAGTGGTGGACGCCCCTAAGGGGGACAGCCAGGCCCCCTGCCCGTCACCCCACGCCACCAGCTACAGCCTGCGGCCCCTCCAGCACCCACTACCCCACGGGGGCGGGCCCGACCCAGGAGAACCCCCACCCAGAGCCCTCAGGTGCCGCAGAGGGCATCTCCTCCACCTCAGGCCTGGCAGGCAGCCGTCACACGTAGAATGCGACCTGATTTTCCAGCTCTTTGGTCCTGGCCCTGCTGAGAACGCTTTTTCTTCGTGAATTCAGCCCAGGTAGGGAGTAAGTAACACAAATGCATATTTAAAAGCGGAACAGAATTCTTCTTTGGAGAGCAAGGAATTAACAGGGCTTCAAGCAGTGGCCATCACTTGCCCACTGTACTGATCTTTTCAGAGAAAGTCTCTTGGTAAAATACACAATGATAATAACGTCAGCCCCTGTGGCTAACCCCTCTGGGGGCCCAGGAGAAAAGGGAAACTCAAAATTTATGTCAAAAACTGAATGTGAATGGGAGGAAAGATCACACACTCACACACACACACACACACACACACACACACCCACCCACCCACCTTTAAAAGGTAAACATAAAAGAAATGTCTGGCTAAATTTATCTCTTTGTCAGTGAAAAATAGCCTAAGCTTTAGCCAAGAGTGTTGCCAATTCTTACCCGAGGGACAAAAGGGAACCGCTCACTCCAGAGCAGCGCCATCAAACCAAACTTCCAGCAAGGCTGGAAATATTCCACATCTCCTCTGTCCAGTACGGAAGCAAATAACCACATGTGGCTCCAGAGCCCTTGAAAGGTGGCCGGTGAGACTGTGGAACTGCACTTTTCATTTTATTCCATTGTTATTCCTTGATATTCAGATGTAAATAGCCGCCTGTAGACGTGGCTACAACACTGGGTGGCTCAGTGACAGACACTCCAACGAAACATCTGGCAATGTCTTTCTTTTCCCACAATAAAATTATAATCAGATAACTAATAATACCTTAAACCGGCATCAAAACAAGTAACTCCAACCAGGCCCCAGGTGCGCCAAGAGAAACAGACAAAAGACTTGAGGAAGCGGGTTCAGGGTGTCGTTTCTTGCAACGTCGTCCCCGCTCCAGTTTACATTCTATTCTACAAGGGCTTCCTGCGTTTGGAAACCTATGTGTGTAGATGGAATCTGCATCTGTGAAACCAGAACATCAGAGTCCCTTTCCTCAATGTCCAGGAAAAATGAAAATGTGAACTTGGGACAAGTTCTTTAACCTCACTGAGTTTCAGTTTCCTCAGAGCCGAAGTGCAGATAAGATTAGCGCCCACCTCTCATGAGAGTTGGATTCAAAGTGGGCACCCGGCCAGGGGGAGCTGTAATTAGTATTCTGTTAATAACAACAGTAAAATCTACAATAAAATAAGGACCATGCTACTTAGAATGGAAGTTTACAGTTGGCAAAGTTTTCCTAATAGTCTGAACCTGTTTCCCAGGCGGTAGGAAAGTGGCTTCCAGTCAAAACACATCTTGGGGTCCTGACATCTTGGTGATCCCTGTCAACCTGCAGAGAGGTGATCACCCAGATGGGTACCATGAGGGTTATTCAGGGCCTCTGCCTTGTGGCAGGCACTGTACTAGGCTAGCAGATGAGGGCAACGGTCCCCAAACAGAGTCCAATGTCTCATGGTCTCTTACACGCCCCCTGACCCCACTGACGCACCTTGGCGAGATGTAAAGGCTTCCTCCTGGGGCCCACGCCAGCAGGACGCCACACTGCTGGATCTGCGAAGACCAAGTTTCGTTAACCGCTGAATTCGAGAGGAGATCTGAGAGGGAACGGCCCGTTCTCTCAGCCAGGAAAAGAGGAGCAGCGCTGACAGGCCGCGTTTCTCACTGACAGGCCGAATCACTCCAACAGAAAAGCGGTGTTCTCGGAGCCTTCAAAAAGTCAAATCTGACCTGTCTCACAGAGCAAACAAAATGCCTTTCAACAGCCAGCTGCCCCAGTCAGAGAAATCCAGCGGGAATCTCCACCAGATTCCCAGCAACCAGACCAACGCACCAGAAATCCCCCAGGAGTTTCAAAGCAGAAGTTTAGTGGAATTCTGCGAGGTTGGCGGGGGGTGGGGGAGTATTTTCCTTTATTTAGAAAGTACTCAATCTTCTTTCACAACCAAGGGGACGTTCCCCTACAGAAATCCCTTCTCTGAAGACCTCTAAAATTAAAATATGTGCCTGATCATCCACAATAACTTAAGGATAAACCCATTTACCTGCAGAGTCAGGGATTTCCCTTAGCTCCTTCGTCTACGAAAACAACACGCTCCAGACTGTCTCTAGTGGTCCCGATTTTTGGCACCTTTTGACCCCAGAACAACACTGGTCAACCATGTTCTTGACCCTGAGTTAGGGAAATGAGCTGTGGTATCTAGAATCTCACATATGTATTCCTTGCTGATGGGAGTGTAAAATGGTCTAATCACACTGGGAGAAAGTTTGGCAGTTTCTTACAAAGTTCACATACATCTCTTTTATGACCCAGCAATTTCACTCCATTTACCCATGAAACATGAAGCACATGTCCCTAGGAAGACTTATAAACAAATATTCACAGCAGCTTCATTCCCAAAACCTGGGGATAACTCTTGCGTCCATTAACAGGGGAATACATAAACCGTGGTATAAACTGATCCTGGACTATAACCCAGCAATTTAAAAAAAAAGACCAAATTACTGATACATAAAACATGAGTGAATCTCAAAAACATGCTGAGTTTAAGAAGCTTTACACAGTATCGTGGATTTCTACAATAACCGAAGTTCAAGAACAGGCTAAACTAGCTTTGAGTGATTGTTAAAAAAAAAGGTTGGGGCCACAGACTGACTGGGAATGGGGATGCGGGAACTTCCTGGGGGCGAGGGCAATATTCTCTACCTTGATTACAGATGAGGGTTATACAGGTGTAGGCATCTGTCAAAACATGATGCAAATGCTACCCTCAAGATCTGTGCATTTCACTATATGTAGATAGGTATGTATGTATAAATTCACCATATGTATAAATTTCACCTTAAGAAAGTCATGAATATATTGAACTCTAACAAAACTTTTAGAGGTGACCCGTACCAATGTTTGAAATTTAATTTAAAATGCATAAAACAGTAAGTAGAACTGATGGATGGACAGAGGATGAATGGATGGACAGATGTATAATAAAGCCAATAAAGTATTGCAAAATTACAGCCTCTAGATATGGCTGTTTGGGTGGTACCTGTTCTTGCCACTTTCCTGTATTTTTTAGAAGGAGATAGACATTGGATGAGCCCCAGGACCATCTCCCTAGCCCACCAACTCAGAAATCTAGCAAGACACCCATGCCCACCAAACCAGGGGCCCACATAATTTCAGTTCTGCTGAAAAGTTAAGGTTGGAAGAATGCAACTAGCTTTACAGGAACTCACATCACTCATGCCAAAGATTTTCTGCCTGTTTCCCTACAGACAAAGCAATTATTTGAATGGAAGCCAAAAATTCCTGCTCCAGAGGGAGAAAAAGAACTCACTGACTTGTATTCCCAATTTACTCTCTTCTGCTTCCTGCACCAGATCAATTAGCTAACTGCACAACACCCCCCTTTCCATTTGCCCCACAGTCCAAGCAGCCAAAAGACAAACAAAGAAAAACCAACCCAGCGACAGAGGGATGAGGGGCTGCCTCTCAGACCAGAAAGCCCACTGCAGGCAAAAGAGGAAGCAAAGCTCCCTCTGAGGTTAAAGTGATTTCACTGAGGTTAGCACACACAGGCACGGAGGAGTCCCAAACAGCTTGCTGCTTTAACCCCTCTACGGGGTTTGGTGACATCAGGGGTCACTTGAACTTGGTAGGGAATTCAGCCTTCAGAGGTACCCGGGGTTGAGGACACGTGGGGTGCAGCGCACACCCTCCCTACAGGCGCAGAGGTCGCTGACACCACACCCGCCTTCCTTCCTGGCCGGGGCCTCACTTATCCTGAGATGACACCCCATGGCCCGACTGTGCCCAGCATCTGAAAACAGCTGTACCACCAGTTACAAGAAGGGACTGTTGCTGGAAGCCAGGGCAGTCACTCAAACACAGGAACCCGAGCCAGACTGTTGGGGTTTTTTTTTAACTTTTTGTTTTGAAAACCCCTAACAAACTCGGTGACACCACCCAGCGTCCCCGGGGACCACCCGCAGCCACAGAGGGGAGCCAGGAGGCAGCGCCCCCGGTTACAGATCGGTGGCCTCCACGCGGCCCTCGCTGCCAAAGCAGCGACCGTGCAGGTGAAGGGCACCCGGCCGGGGAGGGGGGTGGGCATGCCCGCCCGCGGGGCTTCCTGAAATAAACGCCGCCGCCGCCACCCTGCCCTGACCCGGGTCCACCCTGGGGCCTAAGAAAGAGGCGAGGACGAGGGAAGAAACCCCCTTACGGAAGACGGAAGACGAGACACCCGTTTTCGGTGCCGGGAATTCCTGGAGCCCCGAGTCTCAGCGCTTCCGGGGGCCGCGAGGCCGGCAGCCCCACCCGGGGACCGACACGCCTCGGGGGCGCACGCACCCCGCCCCAGCTCCCCGCCGCCTCGCGCTCTCCTGAACCCGTATTCCGGGGCCAGCTCCCGCCCGCCCTTCGCAGAGGGCGCCGTGCAGAGTGTCCCAGACCCACCTGTAGCCTCGCAGCCTCTCCTCCGCTTCCTCCCCGGGCGCCCCGGGGCCGGCGGAGCCCACTACCCCCCACAGACCGCTCTGGGGGTGCCTCTCCCCCTAGCGCGCCAGGGCTGATTTCTTTCTTTTTCAGAAAAGTTGGCCCAAGATCTCCGCGTCCCACGGAGCCGGCCCCCGGCCCCATCCAACCCGAGCCCGGGCGCAGAGGACGAGGGGGCCCCAGCGCGCCCGAGCAGCACGCCCAGGCCCCCGCAACCTGCAGGGAGGCGCCCCGCGCGGGGCTCTCCCCGCCCGCCGGGGTCCCCGCGCCGCTGCACCCACCTCCGCCCCGAGTCCCGCAGGCGCCCACCTACCGCTTGGGGCCAGCCGGCGAGAGGGCGCGCGCGGGGGCTCCCGGAGACAGCGTGTTCCGTCCCGGGAGGAAAGTTTGTGCCATGCAGAGGGGGCGGCGCGGGGGAAGGCGTGGGCGACAGGGGGTGGGCGCGGGGCGGGCGGCGAGGCGGGCCCGCGCGTCCGTCCCCCCCGCGAGCGGTGCGTGCGTCCTGCCCGAGAGCCCGCGGCCGCCGCGCTCCCGCTCGCGGCGCCCAGAGCCCGGCGCGCTCCGCCCGCAGCCCCGACGCGCCCCCGTCGCCGCCGCGCGTCCGCCGCCTATACTTCCTCTTCCTCTGAACTCACGGGCAACAGACGCCGAGCGGCATCTTCGGGGGAGCCGCCGGCGCGCCCCGCGCCCACCGCGCGCTCCCAGCCCGCGCCCCAGCGCCGGTGCCCCCACCACGCCCCGCGCCCCCCACCGTGCCCCCACGATCCGCGCCCCGCGCCAACCGCGCCCCCGCGACCCGCGCTCGCCCCGCGCCCCCGCGATCCGCGCTGCCCACGGGCGCCGGAGCCACAGACCCTCGCCGCGCCTCCGCAGCGAGCCCCGTGGCTCCCCCGCCCCCCTTCTCGACCCCTGGTAACCGAGGTCACGAGGTCAGGAGCACGCGTGGGGGGCGCGGAGCCCGCCCGCCTCCTAGCTCCGGACCGGGTTTTGGAGGGCGCTGGGTGCCGAGGTGCCGCGGGGCGGGGAGGAAGGTTGAGACCCTCCTGCCTGCCCATGCCGCAGGTGGGCCCCTCCCCGGGCGCTTGAGTTATTTGCTGGGCATTTAGTGCCTAGGGAGCCGGCTAGTGCCACTGTCCGCTTGCCACCCTCTCGCCCACGTACTGCAGGTGCCCAGAAGGTGTGGGAAAATCTAGGTAACCAACTTCAGACCGCCCGAGGAGGCGGTTGGATGCATAAAACGTCAGGCTGCGTTAGTGAAGCCGAGATGGGAGGCAGTGAGCCTGTTGTCTTTGTTCCTGGAGCATTTTAAACAAAGCAGAATTAAAAACGCCGGGGTTACTACCCGGGCTCTAGAGCCAGGGTGCAGGTGGGCCTTGGGCCTCCATCTGTATTTGCCTTCTGTGTGATGTGGGTAAGTGACTCATCGGCTCTGAGCGTGTTTTCTCCTTTGTTAGGTAGCACTTTCTCGTGGGTTTTAGAAGTAAAGTGTTTAGGAAAGCACCCTATAACTTAGCTGTTACCCTCTTGTTATACGGGGTTGCAGTAAGACAGCCCTTCAGTTCAGTTCTGTCGCTCAATCACGTCCAGCTCTTCGCAACCCGGTGGACTGCAGCAGGCCAGGCCTCCCTGTCCATCACCAACTGACATAATCTGATTAATTGTCTACATTTTCTGATTGGGCAAAGAGGGGGCTTTAAGCGTTGGAGCCCACAGGATGGAGGGCTAGTGTAGGCCCCAGAGTGTTTTAATGGTGTCCTTCTGGTACTAATAACACCCCCAGGGTAAGGAAGCCCTATTCTGTTTTCAGGGACTCCTGTAAACAGTTTCTCACAGCCTTTCTCTCGTTTGCTTTTCCCTAGCCACCCCAGATCTGTGTTCCCGCCACCCCCCACTTGGCACGTATTTTTGCCCCTTTCCATTTCCACGCCTCACTGGTTGTTGTGCTCACCACCACCCCCTCCAGGCCCTCCCACTCTCCCCCGCCTGGCTTGCCGTCGGGGAGAAAACGGGATCAGACGACAGCCCGGGTCCAGATTCAAGCAGTGTCATGTGGGAAAGCGTGTCCTCTGGCCGCAGTGATGGTTTTCGAACACCCACCTTCGAGGCCAAAATGAGGAATCTTTGTTATTTATATGCCTGAGGCCTAGAGTATTGCAAGGCAGGGTCCATCTGAAATCTTTCTGGTCCTTACATGGGAGAAAGAAAACAACATTTCTAGGTGTTAACCAGTAGTTCAGAGCAAACACGGAGTATTTAAAAGATAAAGGGAAAAAAGGGGAATACAGCATAACTTGATGTGTTTGGGGGAGAAGGTTGATTTCTTTTAAGCAAATCATTTCCACTCTGTACAATTTTTGCATGTATTTTTTTTTTAACACTAGGTCCTTGGGGTTAATAAATTACTCTGTTTTTCATTTTCTTCCACTCAACCTTTTCCTGACTACTGACAGTGTGTAAATGTCTTAAATGATCTTGTTTCCCTGATTGGACCTGCATTTTTTTCGGGGTTTTCTAGAACTCACCTTTCCCCCTAGATATTCTGACGCTTCCTCTTTGGTACACAGCAGGTGTTTAATCCACATACATGGAGTGAATGGGTGAGTCATTCATATCCAGACCTTTTTCAGCCCTGTGTAACATACACTGATCAGGTGACCTGGAGTATGATGCTTCTCTTTTCACCTGGAATAGCCAATGAGGGGACGAGGTTGAGTTCGTTTGTGTTGTGTAGAGGTCAGCCTTGATTTTCCTCTTGACTGCCATGGACTGGCCAGCCAAGGGGTGTACCCTGGGCAGCTAGGCCTCACCTCTGACTGACCTCATCCACCCAGCATCAACCCCAAAGATGCTGGAGCTGTATCCTGGTGGGTTACCTTGGCAACCTCACAGTGTCATCTGTTAGAATGTCCTAGGGCGGCAGCTTTTAATTCTCTCACAGCGGTCTCATCGGGGGTCATGTAATGGTGCTGTTTTTCCTCTGCTCACACTTCCTTCGCCTATGATTTAACACTAAGTATTCAAGGAGGGAGCCGAACACGGGGAAAACCGAGCTATTACAGCCCGACAGGTAGCAGATGGCCCCAGCGCTGGGATCCTGAGCGTGTGCAGTCGATGAAGCGCAGGCCCCAAGTTAATGGGGAAACTGGTTCTCCTCACACCCGCTGTGGAAAGGAGAGGAGTTAAGTGAGCCTAGGCAAGCATAAGAAGCAGTCATGGCCAGACTGTGCAATTCCAGTAAAAGCTTGGTTCTCGGAGCCCCCCCGCTGGAGCAATTCTCTCCCTCAGCCTCAGCAGTATCGCCCCACTCTGGAGATGATTAAGGCCATGGGTACCAGCCGCCGGAGCACTTGTGATGCATTGCAGCTCCGCTGAGCCTTGCTGAAAGGGAAAATCCCAGCTAACCTTCAGTCCTGCCCACCTCCTTCCCTCCCCTACCCCACCCCCAGCCCGTGATTTCTCCCCCACCCCCCACTGCACGCATCCCCTCTCAACCAACTTCGCTTAAAAACCCTCGGTTCCCGTCCTTCTGTGGAGAGCAGCGACTTCTGCAGAAAACAGAGCCATCAGAAGCTACAGAGTCTGAAGAGTTACTGACCTAATTGTTTATCTGCAGGACCACCAAAACCAGGTCTTCTCCAGGGCAGCTGAGCAGCAACCTTTCAGGGCTGACAGGAGAGATAAGCATAAACTCATATATGCCCGGAGGTGCAGGGATTATTCATCTTTATCATCACTGTTAGTATTTTAAGTGGGTTTGCAGCCACAGTGAGATCACAGTTTGGTTGGCTGCCCCATACTGAATGGCTGCAGAAAGCTGGCCCCGCCTAGGGCAATACGCCTTCATATAAGGAGTTTCTCTACGGCGCACCAGAGCCAGTGGTTTTCACAGGAGCCCCCTCCCCTTGTGTCCACTGCGATGGGCACATGCTTGCAGACACACCTGAGCCAGTCCATGGCGCCCCTGGCCCCTTCAGGCCGGCGTCCAGACGTGCCCTGCAGCCGCTTAGACACGTGGGAGTGTGCACTGGGGCAGGGCGGGGAGCCTGTCAGGATGTTTTGTATGTTTGCATTGATGGCCAAGGCCGGGGACTTTTGTCCAAAGTGCAGTCAAACTAATACTTTGCAAATGCCACCCGCAGACACCACCAGTTTCAGGAAATGTTTGAATGATTGCCAAATGTTCCATTCACCCCAGTATTAAAAAAAAAAAAAAGATTGTTATTCTGCTCCTGCCTCCACTCCTCCTTTTATCTCTGAATTCCCAATCTGTCAGACAGGCAGTTCAGGGAAGCCGGGGCCCTCCTGTGGCTGAGATAGAACTTGCTCTCTGGAGCAAGGAGCAGTGCGAGACTCAATGCAGGAATATAGTGTGAGGCGCACTGCTACTGCTGGCCCTTACCAAGAGCCACACCTCTGCACTGGTCATTCCACTAGTGGGACACACCTATTTACTTGCATTTGGGAACAAACTTTATTACCAGAGATAGAAATATATCAGTTCAGTTGCTCAGTCGTGTCTGACTCTCTGCGACCCCATGGACTGCAGCACACCAGGCCTCCTTGTCCATCACCAACTCCCGGAGCTTCTCAAACTCATGTCCATCAAGTTGGTGATGCCATCCAATCATTTCATCCTCTGTTGAAATGCATATACATACATTTCACATATATATAATATATATTTCATATATGTGTATATATATATATATATGGAAATATGTAGGAAGTCTGTATGCTCCATAGATGTAAGAAAATAAAGGAGATTGTGGAAATAGCTCATTAAATAAATGATGTAATATTTTGATGTATTAATTGATTTGATTTCCCTTTCCCCACTGTATTTCTTTTTTAAAAACCTTTCCCCCTTTTTCTTTTTTTTTTAAATTGAAGTATAGTTGCTTTATAATGTCATGTTAGTTTCAGATGTATGGCAGTAATTCCGTTTTATATATATATATATATATATATATATATATATATATATGTTTATATTCTTTTTCAGGTTTTTTTCCCCTTAGGTTATAATAAGACACTGAATATAGCTATTTATCTAGTTTACATATGGTAGTGTGTACATGTTCATCCCAACCCCCTGATTTTATCCCTTCCCATCCTCTCTCCCCCTTGATGGCCATAAATCTGTTCTTCGTGTCTGTGAGCCTGTTTCTGTTTTGTAGGTAAGTTCCTTGTATCTTGTTTTTAGATTCCATGTGTAAGCGATATCATATGATATTTGTCTTTCTCTGTCTGACTTACTTCACTTAGTATGATAATCTCTAGGCCCATCCATATTGTTGAAAATGCCAACATTTCATTCTTTTTATGGCTGGGTAATACTGCATTGGGCTGCACTGTATCTCTTGTTACGCTTTACCAACCTTATTCTTACTGATTTAGACAGCTAGAAAGACAGTGTTAGTCACTCACCCGTGTCCGACTCTTTGTGACCCCATGAACTGTAGCCCACCAGGCTCCTCTGTCCGTGGAATTCTTATGGCAAGAATACTGGAGTGGGTAGCCATTCCCTCCTCCAGGGGATCTTCTCAACCCAGGGATTGAACCTGGGTCTCCTGCATTGCAGGTGGATTCTTAACTGTCTCAGCCATCAGAGAAGCTCAGAGAAAGCATCACTGGCCACCAAGGAAAGTTATCATGAAAACACCAGGGAAAAAAAGCCAGAGAATTGGGTTTGGGGTTTCCAAAGTCAAGGTCCAAACATGAAATGAAAAACTCTGCAAAAATATGAAACCAGATAGAACCATTGTCCCATCATATTTCCTTTCCTTCCCCACTACCCACCACCATCCCCCACCCCCCATGTACACACACACACACGCCTTCCAGCAGCAGATCGAAGTTGTCAGGCTGGGGCACAGGGAGCAGAAATCGAAGGGCTGTGTCCATAGCGTGCAATCT